CATCTAAGTTGGCAGGGGGGAGGAACTTGCAGCTCTCCCCCTACCCCCTCTCTCTCCCCTGCTAGATGACCTGGCACCTGCCTTTCCAGCATGCTTCATAATGTTTGCTGTGCTGGAAAATGTGTCACTTCTTGGCCTCTTGAAGGCTCAGATCAAGCTTAGTATGCCACTAGTGGTAGCTGTGTGGCAGTGTTCCTGCCTACTATGTGGGACATCTGGGTTTAAGTCCCAGCTGAGGTGACTTGGGGTGAGTGAGATAACAAGAAGTAAATCTTCTTGTATGTGTTTAATATGTGTGTGTGTGCACGCATGTAATATACCTTCTAAGTGCAATACATCTTTTTCGTGTGTGTGTGTAATATATCTTCTATCTGTAATAGATTGGAAAGGTGCATCCAATCCTTTCCAAGAAAAGAGACTAGCAAGAGACTGACTATGAGGAAGCCAGCCACTGCAGCCAGCCAGTATTTTTCACACGTTGTTGCTTCCAGAGAGACAGCTCACAAAAGGCAGAGAAAGGCTTCACACAAACCATTACGTGCTGTTTCTCTGTCCCTCCCCCAGAGCACTGGGATTGGAAGGGACCTCAGGGACAGATCGCAGACACTGGACAGCTACAGATATCAATATCAGAGCAGTCCTTCCCCTCCTCTCTTCCCCCTCCTTCTTCTGAGTTTCTGTTTCCCCACAAGCCCACCTCCAAAATGTTCTGAAACATCCAAACCATTTTGGATGGTTTTGTTTAGTTTTGGAGCCTTCTATTTCATTTCAGATTTGGTGTTTCGAGTGCAAAATGGGCCGAAACACCTCTGAAACAAAATGGCTGCCAAAATTTCTCACAGCTGTAATAAATATGGCAGGCTTTAAATATGGCAGGCTGTTAAATAATCAGCATGGCTTTTCTTTCAGATCTTCACCATGTCACACTACAAACTCACATACTTCAATATGAGAGGAAGAGGAGAAATCATTCGCTACCTATTTGCCTATTCAGGCATAAAGTATGAAGACTACAGGATTGAATGGGCAGATTGGCCCAACATCAAACCAAGTGAGTAGAACAGATTTTTTTTTTATCCAAACCTATTTTAAAAATCCTTTCATAACACAAAGCAGTAAAAAATGGATGCACACTTGCTCTTTCTGTTTTATTTGAAGTCCTGGCTTGATTGAAGTCAATAGAAATTTTGCCACTGGATGCAGCATGGCTGATTGCACCCCTTGGCTCCCTAGCATAGAGTAGGTCCCTTCCCCTGATATAACTTACCACAGGTTCCACTGGCTTCTATGTTGACCCAAGCTGGGTCCTAGCCTCAGAATTTGAACTGTTACCTGTCAAGGACTTATTGGAGATAAGGCAAGTGTTAACATTTTAGAACTCTTAGAAAAAATTGGCCTCAAAGGAGATACTGCAGTTTTTAGGGTGAAGTTACATATTACACTTATACCATACCATACCAACAGGGCAGTTAAAATGCAAACACCTACATATTAAGGCTTGTTAAGTGCCCTCTGTTATGAATTATGCTCTTAAAGCCACGTGCAGTTCACTCTAGGCTGGGGCAATGATCATGCAGAGAAAGTATCCAAAGTCAAATACAGAATCTTTATTCGCTCAAGCGAGGTGCCTCCAGAGAGGGACCCCACCTACTAGTTATAATACTTTTTTATACTTTCTAAGTGCAAAAGCGTTAGTTCGTGATTAGCGCGTGTTCGTAAAAATACCCAATCATCTATTAACTAAATCACTATTCTGTCCAATCAAGCAGCACTGTGGGCGTGAACACAGAAGTTTAACTCTCGTGAATTACATGCCCCCTATATTTTGTCTCAAGATGTTTCTTTATCTAACAAAAACAAATCATGCCCGACTTTCAAGGTTCTCCTGTTGACGAGACTCCCCTGTTGACTGGATTCAGCTAGGTTCATATCTTATCAGTAACCCTCACACAGTACCCCTTTTCCCTCCCCGCCGTCTTGTAAGTGCTGTGTCCACTTTTATGAAATGGAGGCGAAAGGAGAAAGAAATGGCCTCACTTTTAGCATTACAAAGCCTTGCTTTAACCCTACAAGATTCATATACAACACCTCTGAGCATGTCAACTTCACACCCCTTCAGGTGAGGACTAACTCTGGGTAGTGCTACTTAGCTCATGTTAGGGTAATTTTAATCTGCTCCATGGAGATAAAATGAGCAATTTGCAGTTCTTCAGTATCCCAGGATGTACTATTCCACCCCCTCACCCACCCAGAGCAGGAATACAGTGCAGCTGTCCTGTTCCTAGACACACTTATGGTCTCTAGCACTCTAGTGACCAGTCAGAGCTATACAGGCAAGAAATGGTATTAACAGTTAATGTGCAATGGCTTTCAGCACGTTTTAACTTTAGCATTGCTTAGCATTCCACAGATTTAGTATACTCTAACTGAAACATGCAACTTACCCTTGCATAACTTCAGAGAATAATCTGGGCAGGGACGACAGATAGGGGGTTCACATGGGTGCATGTGCACCCCCTGAGTATGGTGGTGCACCCCCTGCAAAAAGACACCACCGACACTGTTGATGGTGCCTGCGGGCAGTTGCCGCTCACCACCCTGCCACCACAGCATCTGCGGGCAGTCCATGATTGCTGCTGATGCTGCCGGCAGTGCCTGCAGATGGTCGCTGACCCCTGGTCTGCGCTCACCACCCCCTTCCCACAGCCACCAGGGGCACATACTATTCATGAATCTGGGAGTGAAAGGCGCAAAAAAGGAACCACTTTTTATGGTCGGACAGGTTCTTGAGGAGCCTGGATATACAATGCATTTATGCCAATATGTCAGGCTTTACATGAGTTCAAAGGAAGACTTGATAGACAGTGTATAATACTATACTGCAGTAGCTTACTTGAATCTAGTATAAAATTATTCTCATAAAAATCAGGAGTAAAACTTTACCTGTATATATTGAACTGGTGCCAGAGTCATTTCTTTGCAGTTTATGCACAAACCTGCAGAGAAAGTTATGCACAAGCCTTTTATGTGTTCCCTTGCTACTTGTGACAAAATACTATAACACCATTCAGTGCATAATAATGGGTCATCTCTTTGCCCTGGATTCAAGGGTAATTTACATAGGTTTTGAAAAATAATCTATGGTGTAAATATGTAATCTGTCCAAATCCACAGAAATAATGAATAAGAGGAAAAATGCATAGGATGAAAAATCAACTGCTATGCTTCCTCTGCTTTACTAGTGGCAGGTTAGAGTGTTATGTCTTGTGTTGTGTCAGGTTGACGGTAGTCTTATGCAGAGTTTAGATTATAGATTGTATAGGCTGGTTTGGATAGGGATGATCCTACCTCAGGCTGAAGTTTGAACTAGATGACCTCTGGAGGTCTCTTTCAACCCTACTGCTCTATGATTTTATGGCTGTCACTTTGTTTTTAGTGGTTGTCTTGAACTGCTTAATTCAGTTTCATTTCTACCACAATCCCCCTGACCTCCCCTGACACAGATTTTATACTTTTGCAGAGCTCTCTGCAGGCAGGCAGAGTTCCAGCCTGCAACCAGCTGGGGGGAGCAGTAGGAGAGCAGTCAGACAGGGGGTGCCATGTGCATGTGCATGCTTACACATGCACATGGCCACCAGGCAGCCTGGAGAGCAGCTCCCTCAGGAAAGACTGGAGGGAGGAAGGGGGATTGAGGCTCCCGTAAGGAGGGAGGAGGGAGGGAGGGAGTTGGGTAGGCTAGGGCTAGGGCTGCTGTCCAGCATGGGTGAGGCTTGAGGGCCAGGACTGGAATGCACAGCCGCAGGGGATCAGAGGTCGGGATGGAGCTGTGAGAAGCTTGTCGCGGGGGGAGGGGGGAAGGGGGAAGAGGGAGGCTGGCTCCCTGCTGTTGCACACACCCCTGGGGGGCCAGGGGAGTCACATGCCCCACAGACCTGTGCATAGGGTGGAGCCAGGTTGCCTGCTACAGGCTGGGGCTCCATGTCCTGATTCCCTCCCTTAGAGCCTCCATGGCTCAGTGAGTGGGACCTGGCACAGCAGAGCAGAGTAGGGAAGTTCCTTAGTGCTGCAAGTCCCACGCTACTCAGTGGTGAAAAAGCTTGCGGAAAAAAATGGAGCAGTCCATGCATGGGCAGCATGCTTTTGCAGCACAGAGAACATTTAAATACGCGGTATAGGGTGCTCTCGTCTGGATGTAGCCATTGATTTTATCCTGGCTACTTTAGCTAAGTGTAGAAGATGAACTGCGAGGATTTAATGCTATATCTCAAGAAGGCAGACCATACAGATTCTTTCACTTAGAGATATATGTATAAGGGGCAGTAAAGGGGAGTTTACCCAAGAATCCACAATAAAAAAAGGATCCAGCAGAAAAAAACCAAATAGTGGTGATTGATGCCAGTACCAAGTAGCGCACATAAGCATCAATCAGATTACCCAAGGCCAGGGGGATGCAGAAACATCAATAATGGCACAGTTTGTCATATAGATCCTTTACTAAAAGGGATGATTTTTTTTAAATTGAAAAGAACCCGGTTTGAGTACCACAGTGCAGACATAGTATGAAAGGGTTAGCACTTAGCAATACATTTCTGAACTCAAAACCTGGGGCTGAAGCTAAGCCACTGCCTGACCTGGGCTGGCACTCAAACCTAAGACTAAACTTCCCCCTCTCCCTATGTTGTTTGGGGAGGAAAAAAACCTCATCTTGGATTCAAGTAAATACAGTAGGTAATCTCTATTTTCCTTCACTGCAGACTAACTTTTGTATCTGATTGGCAGTACAACCACAGCATTATCTAGTTATGATAATTTGCTGGATTTATGTTCCTAGCTATTGACTCAGTGCTATTACTGAGGTGACCATGAGTGGGATCAGGTCCCTATATCAGTCTTCATTAAGGAAGACAGCCACAATGAAACATATGGACACTAGATCAGATAATCTTTATCTGATTTTTCAACCCCATTGTTGTACCTTGCACTGTAATTGTACAAACACTCCCCTGTGGTTAGGCACATACATATAGTTGCATACATGCTTAAGCTTAAGCACCTTACTGGATGAGAGCCAAAATGCTCAACACGTTGCACAAACTACTCCCACTTCCTACACCCCTCCCAACTTTCTCCCTGACTACTCCCTTTGCATCCTTCTGTGCCTAGATTTATTCTTGTTTTGTAGTACTCTGTAGGCTCAGAGCAGACTTCTGTTTAATGCACGCCAGCCAAATCTTTCCCGCTCAATGGGGGTGGGGGGTGGGGAGAGTCTTTTGGCCCTCTAAAGCCCAGATATACCACTAGAAGAACTATAAAACTGTTTAGAGAGAAAAACCCTACAGTTGTAAAGACAAACAAGTATAAAAATGTTTTATATTCTATATATTACAAAATTCAACATGCAATCAGGGAGCTACATGCAATAAAAATTAACTCATTTCTAAGTAGTAACATTTCTGCATTATTTGGTAAGATGTCATTCATTTCAGCCACTGCTCCTGGTTTACAGGATTAGATGTACAAACATATAAGTAGTGTCAAATACGTTACATATATTTTTGCACTCCTTTTAACCTGTAGTATCTTAATTCATGAGACTTTGCAAAGATCTCCATGAAAGAACTCACAGTGGTCTATCTTGTGACAGCATCAATGAATAATTTCATTAAAACCAAATGAACTTTAAAGGAAAGTGCCTGGGATTGCTTCAAAGTCAATTTGTACAAATAAACAGTTCTTACAATGCAGCTTTACAGGTTATGTAAACTTTTATGAATAGTGTTATTGTACTAAGTATAGTTTAAACTTAATTGTAAGGTGTCAAAACTAAATACCCGTTGGATATTAATTTTGGATACAATGACCAAGATTTACCCTCACTGCTTAGAAGAAATTGTATACAAGAATGTACAAAACCTTAACCGTCAGCAAGACCTGTGTAAGACTTCTCAAACAACTGCTGCTTTGTTACCATATTATTTTAAAGCAGCCTGCCCAAATCCCTTCAAATCAGCAGTCTATTTATACATGGAAAGCATTCAGATTTCATCAAGA